AAAAAATTATAAAACATTATTAAAAAAATTATAAAACCTAAACAGCCTACAGTATTTTTACAGTCTTTATTTTACAGTTAAAATATATGTTTATCAAATAAAGTCTAATGTTACAACTAATCATGGATCCCTGTAAGTATGGGATAAATCTTGTGCCAGCAGGAAATGAATTTGAATTGCTCAGAATGAATATGAATGTGAAAATTTGAAACTGAATGCATTCGTTTGAACATAAATTTCACTAAACTGAAACTGAATTGAATGATTTGAAACTGAATTTAAAGTTTTGAATTTGAATTAATTTTCTTCGAAACTGTATTTTGGTTTATTAAAAATTCAGTTTGACTACTTTCACTTTCAGTTCTATAATTCAATTTCATTTCCAAAATTCAGACTTTTGTGTCACACATCCTGGTCCTTGAGAAAGCCAGCCAGAGTAATCAAACACACATCCACAGATTTACATTTTACTTTGGTGAATTTTACCTTCTGTAATGTAACAGAGTTGATGCAATCCACCGTAAAAGTGACAAAAAACAGACAGATATTTCGTTGCAGAGATTAATTTTACCTATATGTAGAAAATGTTACGTTTATATCACATCATGGATCACATATTGATCTGATGCTGCTGCTGACTGATCCATGATGTGATGTAAACGTAATATTTTTTATAGGTAAAATTAATCTCTGTAATAAAATAACTGTCCATTTTTTGTCACTTTTACGGTGGATTGCATCAACTCTGTTACATTACAGAAGGTAAAATTCACCAAAGTAAAACGTAAATCTGTGGGTCTGTGTTTGATTACTCTGGCTGGCTTTCTCAAGGACCAGGATGTGTGACACAAAAATATGATGTAACTGAAAGTGAAAGTAGTCAAACTGAATTTTTAATAAACCAAAATACAGTTTCAAAGCAAATTAATTCAAATTCAAAAATTTAAATTCAGTTTCAAGCCATTAAACTCAGTTTCAATTTATTAAAATTCATTTTCAAACCAATGCATTCAATTTCAAATTATTCACATTCATTTTCAATCTGAGCAATTCAAATTCAGTTCCTGCTGGCACAAGATTTATCCCATATGTAAGACACTGAGCTAACACACTTCAATCCACATCAGGGAGAATTACTTCAGCTGCATTTTTCAGTCACAAATCACTTCCCCCATATTTCCCCTTTTCTCCCTTCATCCTTCTCACCTCTCGCTGACCTCGCGAACCTTCAGGATGTTGGAGAAGAGGGTCTTCTTGTCCATGATGACCAAGGTCTCGTTCAGCTCCCGGCTCTCCACGAAAAGTTCGGTCAGAATGCGGAGGGATCGCAGGTAAGAGGCCTCCGAGGTCAGAACCTCAAACATGCTCTGCAGGGCAGAAGGTGATGAGTGATGTTCTGTAAAATATGAAGTTAGACAGTAAAGACCTATATCTGTCATTTAAAACTCCTCCTCCTCCTCACCTCCTGGTACTTGATATCTTTGGCGGAGAGCTGCTCCAGCACGCCGCTCTCCCGTACTTCAGGGAGCTCCTGCCACAGAGTGCTGCTGTTGCCGTCTTCGCTAAAAGCCGAGGCGTCAGACCCTTTCCGGTTGCGGTTGGCCATCCAGTCCAGGGGGTAGTCGTAACTGCCTTTGCTGGTGTTGCGGTTCACGGTCTGCCGATGGATCTCCTTTGAGATCACGGTTTTGCGGTACATCTGATACAGAGGCTCTGAGGTCAGAAGACAAAAAGTCCAAATTAGAAGTTGACCGATATTTGTGTCTTCTTTTCTTGTATCAACATCAGCCGAGACGTACATGTGTTCGCCGTTACAATAAAACCAAACAATCTTAAGATTGTTTTTATTGTTATACAGCGGGTAAAATAAGTTTTGAACACGTCAACATTTTTCTCAGTAAATATATTACTAGAGGTGTTTAATGACATGAAATTTTCACCAGATGTTGGTAACAACCCAAGTGATCCAT